TTCCTAATCATGTGTTCACACTGTTAATTTCTTTGTCGATTTAAACCTGAAGTTGAGATGAGCTCGGGACATTTTATCATTTTAAGCAATGGACCATCTTAGAAGGAAGGCTGTGGATGCTAAAGATATCACGGATGAATAAGCCAGCAATTTCAGTAGCCGGTGGAAGTTTTGAAAGAGCGACTAAATCGCAGGCTTTGGAGAAAGGTCAACAATACTGAGAACAAATGATCTGTTTTTATATATCGAGAGATTGATAGAAGTCACTCTTCTTTGTTTGTAGCAGTTTTCCAGACGTTAGCTTGTGTACATTGCAGCCTAGTGCATAGCAAAAAGAGATAATGACTTTACATACTGAACTTTAGTTTTGATAACATTCAAATGCAAGTCAACGTTTTCCATGACAATATCACAGTTAAATTTCACACCAATAGATTGCTGTTGATAGTTTGAAAGACTACACAAGATGTTCTCAGATTTTTATTAGGTTCTGCCATCTGATGGTACATATATACTTATATGAGGTCTAGTGCGACGAAAATGGTCATTTTATCAGTGAATTACAGGACTGCTGTATGTGTGCCATAAAGCAGCGTGTTTTCATGTTTTTTTTATTTATTTTTTTTCCCGGGTCTGCACTAGACTTTCACAGCAGGAAATACGCAAACACCACAGTTCTGTGTCTTTTTTAGTACTTCTGAACGTTAGGTGCAAAATGAGAAACCAAAATATCCGCAGTTGTTGCCAAAAGGGTACATGGTATATTGCCAGAGGATGGAGATATTCTGTGCACATATTTGGGTCGTCAACAAAAAAAATAGTATAATCATATTATGTGGCAAAAAAAATGTCTATGCAGGGGGGCAAAAATGAATGCACACAAAAAAGGGAAGAGGGTGTTATTTCTTTCCACTTTCGCTGCATGCATGTTCAGTGTGAGGGATTGCTACATCAGTGTGAGCGTGTCTTGCAGGTCAGTAACTCGATGCTATTAACTTGTTTTTCTCTATGATAGAACTTTTAACCAATCTAACTGTATTATCTCTGTAAAGTGCCTTGAGATGACTTGTGAGTATGTACTGTATAAATAAACAAAATCAACTTAATTACAATGAAACCAAATTTAAAAAAATATGGAATATTTAGGCAAAAAACAAAAACAAAAAAAGGATATAAAGAGACATTAGGTGGGGGTGCGTTTTTTTTTTCTCCCTCATTTAATAAATCATAACTTTGAATTAGGATATTTGCATTTGATATTCTTCTACTTTTGTCATTGGCACTTTGTAATAGGCTGCAAGGCACACTATATGTGTATATTATTTAGTATTGTAGATATTATGCATTAAATTATTGTCATTATTACCAACACTTCTATGAAAAAATTTCTTTCTTTTTTCTTCCATCTTCTGAACAACCACCCAATGTGTCTCTCTCTGGGTTTCTAGTTAATTCCAAAAATTCCTCAGCATTACCCTCTATTTCACCACCATGTATCTCAGAGCTCTAATCTCTCCCCGGATGTTATTTCCAGTTTGTTTATCCATCTGTAAACTGTGTTAAGAGGTTTTACCCTTTTATTCTGCATTTCTTCAAATCCAGGGGGCAAAAGTACTAGTAGAGGAGAATCCTCATTGTAAGACCTCCTTTTTCGGCCAAAGGTTAACCTTAGAGAGCCAATTTGGTTATTGGGTTAATGGTTACAATGATGGTTATTCGTTATTATTTTGTGTATATGTACTGTATCCACACTTGAAATTGACACTGACCATTGGTGGGGTCAAATGTAATTTTCTTTCTGTTTATGGCAGATGGTTAATGCCTCTTTACCATAATAAATACTTTCTGATTCAGTCTTTACAGCTGATTTAAAGTTTCAAGTTCACTTTAATATAGAGGGATATATTTAGTGGATGCTTTTGAATATCTTTTAAAAAAATTAAACTGGATTGTCTTGGCAGGCATTGCATTAATTCTATTAGAAAATGTATGTCGAAACTTAATACTCAATACTAAATTTGAGACCAATATGTGATAAAAAAATACATTTTCTTTTTTTTTTATTGTTTTAATGCCTGTCATCATCAGATGGTATTGATATTTCCAAGTGTAATTGCAAGCTGTTTAATGTGACCAAATAAAATACTTTCAATTTGAATGTTGTGTGTTAAGATTAATAAATAATGTATTTAATATTATTAAATAAAGTTTATATGGTTAGATTAATTAACTTACAATTTCATATTTAAATGTATGCACATATTACATCATTTTTCTATTATTTTGACACTGGAAAAAAACTATATCAGCAAAGATATGATTTATCCTTTTTTCTGTCCTAGATACAAATCTGTCACTCAAGTGTTCTTCATATCAACAGAATATGACAAACATTAAATTATTCATTATTAATTGAACTTGAAACTTTAAAAAATTTCTCTCAGTTTTTGAGTATTTGTAAATGATTTTTTATTCCTGTTCTGTTTAGCAGTTCTATGAACTTAACACCAGGGAGAAGATAGCCAGCGTAATCCTGGAATAAACTTAAAGAATAACATCTTCTAACCACAATGTCTCACATGGAAGCATTGAAACTGACAGGGGCACCAACCCGTAGGTAAAGAGACATGCAGCAGATCCAGCTCCAGCTCAGGCTGCTCCAGCTCCGCTGTCGAAGGGACAGATACAGGAAATCTTTCCTACCATATGCCATCACACTGTACAATAAAAAATAAACTCTTGTTTCAGCATACAGTAACCAGCACTGTACTGTACTGCACTCCATATTTTAATACTTATTTATAATCTGTTCACTGCACCTCAGGGCTGTTCACTGCACCCTTATTATGTAAATTACCCTTATTATGTAAATACGTGTGGATGTTATGTTATTTTTACTTTTTTCTTATCTTATTGTGTTGTGACTGTCACTATGTGTAAAGCTGCTGCTACACTGCAATTTCCCAGCTTGGGATAAATAAAGTACATCTATCTATCTATCTATCTATCTATCTATCTATCTATCTATCTATCCATTTCACCTGTCTGCACAGCGGTTGGCAGCTAACACTTTCAGTCACGCTGGGAAGGACTGACTCCTGCTGTCCAGCTAAAAACAACAACTGCTATTTCCCTAAGATATTATACTTATCAGACTTTTTAGATAACACCCTGTATGTAACATTTTGCATGATTAAGCACCTTGATTTTATGTTTTGCATGCAAATTGGTATAATTCAATTTAGGGTAACCAGAAGCCTGTAAAGTGAATGTTTGCAAGAAGAAATGTTAAAATGGTAAATCAATACTGCTAGAAAAAGAAAGTTTCAATCTTTTCTGAATATCCAAAAGAGGGATTTTAATGCATAAAAAACAAATGTACAACCCTAACTGTGAGCAACAGATAAAACTCATATTTTAAAATATCTGGTTATGGTTTTATACTGGCTTTTGTTAGTCTGAAAATACTGTACCACCACTATCCGCTGAGCTCCGTATTCCAAGCTAATGCAGGTGAAGCCATCAGGGGACAGTAGGTTTTATAGTGTCTATTTTACATTGCATTAGAAAGGTTATAAAAGATATATGATGCAACACAATGCTTGTGGGAGATTTAATCAAAACCAATACACAGACGGACAGAATGTTATCAAGCTGCAGAGAATTGTCTGCAACTACTTTTTGGTTCATAGAATTCAGAAATGACCAGAAACAACATTATCACTATCCGTTTTTTATTTGTCAGAGTTGTGTACATATTCTTGTGTTTGTGCATATATAACCTGCTGTGGCCTGAACATGCCCACTATGATCACACTCCCAGCAGGTGGGTATTTTGGCCCTTAATTTCTTGGGTTACTGTATGACCGAATACATATCCACACATACACTAACGCTCTAGGTCTCCCTGCTGTGAAGGGGTTGATTAGTGTGGGCTCCCCGCTGACATGAAAGCAAGGATCATCAAGTGCATTCTGGGAAGAAATAAACAAGGGAAATGTGTGTCTTGAAAGTGCTGTAGACTCACACAGATGCTGCCAAGCACATAGTAAAAGAGCTAACAAAAGCTAGCAGATGCTCTCACACATATGGTCCAAAATGTATTGACACAAGTAGCATGACAAGTTATGTGTATTGATTGGCTGGTAGATCCACACTGAGGGTGATTTGCAGATGACCGTACCTTGAACCTTTGCTGCAGTGTCCTCGGTATTGATATATTACAGCAAGAGGAGCACTTAACTGAATACAACTGAACAAAAAAGGAATCATATTGTGCTTGATAGGCAGAGGAGATGGGTATAAAGATACTTGGAAAAAATAAGGAAAAAGTTCACTGCTGAGACAGAGAGGGAAATAAAGACATAGGTGCAAAGATGCAGGAAGAATGGATCAGGCTTGGTGTCACTAAAGGTGATGTATAGAAGAGAGGGTGAGGAGAGTGAGCGGTCTTCTCTTTCAGCTCCACTAGTAATACCCCTTTCTAAATCATCACTCATATTTAATGGACAGCTACAACGGAAAGAAGGAAAAGGAGAACCCGTACCTCGTATTCCTCCAGCATGCACCCTACCCTGACATAAATAGAGAATGACACACATTAGAGACGAAGAGGCCCGGAGACTGAAAGGTGCCTGAAATGGGGAGAAGGATAGGGGATTGAAAGCAAGAAGAGTTCTTGAAGACTTGAGGGGCAACCAGGTGCAAATGTATCGAGGTATAATAAAGTCCTTTTAGATTCACATTACCAGACACACAAAAGTGCTTTCAAAGTGAAGAGGAAATAACGCTCTTTCTTTTAATGCCCGTGTAATACAACCATAATATTCATCATTTTTTAGAGCATATCATTCTTGATTTATTTCATACCAGACAGTAATTTGAAAACATGTTAAAATTATTGTCTTCAAGCTTTATAAAATGCTTATTTTTCTTAAAAAACAAAAGTTGAAGTTATGTTTTTTAAGAATATATGTGTAACATCTTACCCATATCTCCAGGCTCCGGTCTCAATGATGGCCAGTGGCATGCTGTACGTCTGGTGGCCAAAGAGAACTTTGCCATGTTGACAGTGAATGGCGAAGAAGCGTCCGCTGGGCGTTCCACCTCCCCTCTCAGCATCACTACGGGAGGAACCTATCACTTGGGAGGTAAGGGAGTCCCTAACACCATCACAGCAGGGTTGACATGCACAGTGCACCATTTCCTTTAAGCCCACAGCAGGTGACAGAAATACACCAAAGTAAAAGATGCCAGAAACAAAAGGCTTGAAAGCTCATTTGTACTTTTTACTCATTTTTATTTCAGGGGTCCAGCTTCCACAAAGTAGTGTCTTCAGAGTTTTTATGATGATTAGAAGTGTTTAAGGATAAATTATGCAATGAATTACATTTTTTTATGAGAAAAAGACTGAAAAGAAATACTTATCTCTCCAGCATTTTTGTTTCTTACTTTAGTTTCTTAATTACATCCTATGCAAGAAGTTTTCATTCTGCTTGAATATTTTGTCACATAACACTTTCTTGCCACCATGTATTCTATTATAGCAAGTTTTAGTGCCTCCCTCTAACCACTGTTTGAACAGTCTAACAAAGAGAACTCAACTGCAGTAATACACATTGCAGTTAAGTAATCTAGAGTCTTATTTTATCATAAAATCACCACCTTTATAGTAGAACTATTATAAGTTCAATTGTTTATTATACTTTGTAATAGAATCCAGCATTGCCACTTGTAATTTCTTATATTCACATCAATTGGTCATCTATGCAGTTCATATCTACCAGCCAAAGTGCAAATGTGGTTCAATCAGATAAGCAACATCTTTCAGATGCCTGCAGAGTCTGTTATTTGTTGTTGTCAAATGCATAATGGACTTTTAGTGGATTTTTTTTAAAACAGTGGTTTTGTCCTCCGCCTTATATGGACTAGCTGTCTGGAAGGCTAACTGCTTAAATCTTATGTCCTTTTGGATAATCGGCTAATGTCGAAAAAGACACAATGTATCCTTTCTGTCATTTCCTTTAGATAAAAATTGCAATTAAAACCACAATAATACATTTGTTCCCATGATAACGTATCATCCATTTTGTGGTCTTCTTTGTCTTTTTGCAAGTAGTTATGTCTGTATTACATGACTCATATAACACTATTGAAGCGTTTCCAGCTGAAAGTTTTTGAAAATTGATGCTTCCATTAATCAAATTCAACTCAGTTTATTTATACAGTGCCAATTCACAACCAGTTGGTTGTAACCAGTCATTGACTTGCAAGACTTGCTCGTCTTGGATGAGCTTGAGGCGATGAATTTCGCTTGCATGTTGTCATTGACTCTTCAGCAATCCCTCAAACTTAATCAAACTTATATTTATAATTACAATTTGCACAACTTCATGGTCGATGGAGACAGCTACTTATTCTGGTCCTGGTTAGCTGTTGAGTTTCAGTGTACAGATATGATTTAAGCGATCTTCTCTTTAAATTAAACAACTGAACAATGTGAGATGTTCAAAACTCACAAACCTGGTTTCCTGCCATGACCTGCCATGTTTTTTCATCCACGTGTTGCTCTACATAACACCAAAATCTTTCATTCACATAAAATTTTCCCAAAGTACAATACGGTTTTGTTGTTTTAATGTAATAAAATGTGAAACATTTCATGGGATGTGAATAATTATGTAAAGCTATTTATTCTGATCATATTAACTATCATCCCAAAACTACTTTATTAAAAAGACAGGTCTTTCACAATTTTTGCCTACAGTAAATGACACCATTAAATTTTGCTGCTGTGGATATTTTCCCCAGTAAAAACAATTCAGCAACTTATAATCCACCTCAGATCCACCCATAGAGAGCATGGGCAGCATCTTTAATCTGTCTGAATTAGAAGTATGCCGGGTTAATGACGCCAGACACCGGTATCTGTCTGCTAAACGATGTGGGTGCAAGTGGGCTCTGTATGAAATTACAGTAACTGAGAGAGATGCTGTGGGTCTGATTGCTCCATCATGCCTAGGTCTCTTCTCCCTGGCACAGCACAATCTCCTCAATCAAGAAAGCTCTTTTCCTCAGACTAGTCAGTAAGCATCAGGGCACTATACACAGACACACACATACACACCCCCACACACACATCAAGGTCCTTTTACATTGTTGTCTGTTTTAATTTATTACTCACTAAAGTTGAATGATTGTTTCAACTCCATTGTGACTCTCACTTTTGTCAGTTTGCAACTCTGTGAGCCTGAGTGTAGGACTAGTTTTAGCAGGTTTAATTCTTTCTTTTTTCCTTTTTGATTTGATCAGGGTGTTCTGCAAAGGCTTACACTCAAATCCTTAACAGTCCTTCATTATTATGCTTCAATCTAGTTTCTGTTTATATTCCACGTCTGTTTTGTCTGGTCTCTCCCCTTTCTTTTCCCTCTCATCTCCAGTCTCTATTTTGATTGAATTAGTGATTGATTGATTTTAGTAAGCAGAGCTGTGAATCGATAGAGGCTTGGAAGAGAGGATATCTGTAATGTCTTTACTCCTTGAAGAGGGCATTGAAGAAAGATGCATAAAGTCAGAATGTCTGCAAAGATAACAGAAGAAATTGCAAAAAAAGGGAATTTTATATATATATATATATATATATATATATATATATATATATATATATATATATATATATATATATATATATATATATATATATATATATATATATATATATATATATATATAAAATTTTGCTCCAATAACAAAATTATATTATAACACAGGATCGTAATCTTGATGAACAGACTGCACAGGCGATGTGTTGGGGTTTACGTAAAGTTCTTGCTTAAAAAATATTTAAACAAATTTTTATCACAACTTATCACAGCAAACATAGCCTAACAAAGACACTGTAATTGAACACAAGAGCAGCACAAGGATCAGATGCTTCTGTACAAACTTTACTTGACGTGGACAAGCATCAAAAATGAAGCAACAGATGCTTCTTTGCTGCTCAAATCGAGTTCTGTGTAAATGTAGCATAATACTTCTGGACTTTTTTTAGGCCAATTCTGAAGCTGTCAATAGTCACTGCTTCCTCCCTCTGGTTTAGGGGGGAACTGTTTCTTCTAACAAATAATGTTAAAGAATCCTTAATAAAAATTCGCCATGCGATTATGATATGGATCGTCATCAGAATTTAAAGGATTTCGCCTTGGACTGAGCTGCAGCTTCGGTAAAAATGTCATTAAAATTCGTTCAGACAAACAAATACACACAAACTCGACTAAAATCATACCCTCCTTGTGGAGATAACAAGTTAGAGCAAATGTGGAGGATAAGATTCATATAAAGATTATTACATGCATGATTTATGTGTATTTCATAAGAGGAATGTGTGTTTATTGTGGTATTGCTTCACTACCATGAAAAAAAGATACTGACATTGATTTATAAAATCTATGTCTAATATATTCTAGATAACTTGTATTTATACACTTAATGTATCTCTACAATTCAGAGGAAAACAAACATTTGTTTGTGGGCTTTTCCCTAAAGGCAGAGGCAATATGAGGGCTGAAATAGCAGCAGCTGGGACTGGGGCTTTACTTTTTAATTTTACATGATATGATGAATGCTGAAGAGCTGTGAGCCTGATGATAAACACAAGTTTGAAAGCTGCAGGGGATACAAAGCTGTTGACTATTACTACAAAGCAATTGTTAGGACACCGATTCTCAGATTTAGAGGGAAATTTAGGAAGACAGTTTTGTACCATTTAAACATGAAATATCTACTGTTTCAAATATGTAAGACATATTTTGATATGAATTAAAACTAGAAACCAACAACAAAGGACAGTGTTACCCTGTCCCCTTTTTTGCCTTGTCCAACAAGTTTGTTGGTCTGATCTTGTTGTTTATCACTTCTTCACTGCATTTGTCTCACTCTGCAAACTTTGTCACTAACCTGCGTTGTAATTGAAGGGGCAGCAGCATTATCTAAGAATGACGACTTTGCACATACGATACATGGTTTACATATAAAGAATAACCTATTGCATCGAGAAAAACAAGTACAAGTGAGCACTTACCCTTTTGAACAGCTAGAGCTGCTTTTTTGTTTATGGCAGATTAGGTATCTGTGAATCCTTCCAATTATTAAGATGACTGCACATATCAGTTATTATAACTGTCTATGGCTCATCTTTGGACGAAGAACAGAATCAGAAACAGCACATCAAGGAATTAGAATTTTAAAAAGCATCACTACATGAAATTCTGGAAGTAGCTAATTTCTAATTGCATAGATGGAACTGCTATCCCACAGGTCAGATTTGCATCCTGCAGCTTAATCAGCTATGTGCATGGACTGTTAACGCAAACTATGTCTTCAAAACTGCCAACATGCAGCAGAGCGGGCAGTTTAGCCAATTTAAGCTGAAAACAAGGCAAAGATGGAAACGGTTATTAAGCAACTTAACATTAGGTCTTGTTTGCTTGTAGTTTGACCCCATTTGAATATATTGCATGCAGACTAGTGTGTGTAAACTTGACCAGTTACACATAAGTCAGAAGTGGGTGAGACACATACTCTTTCTACCAATGTTCCGGATTTATTTCTGTTTTGTTAATGAGGTTTTAAGGTTCCTTTAACGGAATTTTCAATCTTTATTATTTTCCCAGAGAAAATACCTTAATATTTCTCTAATGTTTTGATTTTTTTTCCTCCAAATTTACAAAGTTTTATTAATGGTAAAAGGTGAATTATCTGTTTACTGCTGTTAAATAGTTTTTATTAGTGAGTATATTCTGAAATCACAGTACTTGTGGGTCCTGTATTGGGTTTTTAATGCTACCAAAGTAAACTATAGGCATATAAATGAAATGAAAATGAACATAATGAAAACTTAGTTGGTTTCTTCAAAGCCAGAAGAAAGCGATTGCCTTCACTGCGACTGCCTCTCCCCCTGTTGGTGTCAACTATTTTATGAGATTCCCCTTGAATTTCTGCAGCATTGATAAGCCTCTTCTAGCATTTAAGCCTACAGTAAGACTAAACAAAGTCAGGGACCTTTCACATCAGAAATGCAAATTTTTGCAACTTAGACGCTAGCTATAAAGAATAATAAGTTGTTGTTGCTGTGCAAATTAGCTGCTAAAAA